GTCCTGCAGAGAGCTGAGCAGCAACAAGTACACGTATAAAACATACTCCACTGACACTACAGCTGTCCTCAGGGGGGTAATCAGCCTTGAGTTTATTTGCTCTACCTTCTTCTGCTTCATTTGAATAACAATAGCTGTTTGTTTTTGGGCACCAGCATCAATCCACCAGCCTCAACATCCCTTAATATCCCCCCTCCATCCTCCTTGTTCCCATCTAAACTTTTATTTTTCTGTTTACTTTTTATCTCTGGATTTTATTGTCCTCTTCAGTTTTGCTTCCTGGACTCCTGAAGCACTTCTTCATTACTCTGTCCTACTTAATACTGCATGAGCTGCTGTGAAACTACTCCAACTTTCCTGGGTGGTTAGCATTGAAAAGTACCCACTATCCACAATAATGGGCCTACACAAGCGAACGAGAGAGACTGTTGCTGGCTGAAGGAGTAAGGAACGGTATTTGTTACGATAAAAGATGCCTGCTCTTACACAACGACTCTCCTGGAGCCCGAGAGAGGAGCTTGTTTCTAACCAGATAATGAGTTGGAGGAGAAAAAAAGTCATTTTTAGATGACTGGGAAGAAATGTATCTGGTGTGCGTGTGTGTGTGTGTTTCCATTATAATATCTGATGGCATGTTGTTGCACAAATACTATAACTTGATGTTCTGAACTGAAGCTACAATGCTTTTAGGGAGGTGTGGTACAGCTGTGGTGCAGCTAAAGTTAAGTCGTTTTGAAACCAGTACATTTTTACTTTTACTCAAATAAAAGCTTGAATTGATCCTTCATCCTCTACAAAAGTAATTTCAACCCTAGTTTCTATACTTTAAGTCATGAATACCACACTTTTCCAAAACCAAATTTGAGTACTTGCAGTCAAGTACTTGCTGTTACTGAGAGCTAATAATCTATTAATAACCTCACTGACCTATGAAATGGGTTATACGTTTGGTTCAACAAAAGAAAATTAAAGGATTCGCTTAAAGAGCAAGTCACACCAAAATCAACTTTTTTTGCTGATAACTTGTATAAATAAGTGTATTATAGTGTTGTAGACATGCTTAGTCATTATTTTAGCATTTTGGTGAATTTTCTTTAAAAACTAAAAATTCAGCCTAAATCCTTCTGTCTATCGCCCTCTTCAGCTCAAAAATAATCTACACAAATTTCCAACAGCAGTTTGAAATCTGTCTCGACCAATGGGTGAAAGGTCCCATGCAACGTAACCAGGTCCCGTGTAAGGTGTCACAGCCTGTGGTTGTAGGTTATAAAAGGCTCGACCAGCCTTGTAGAGTCGGAGCTTGGATTAGCCACAAGTGAGTGCTTATGCGTATTATACTTATTTAGTTCCAGTAGCTTGGCTGTTAGATTTTGTAGTTTTGTGTTTTTACATGTGACTCTTTCACCAACTTGATGGAGTTTGAACCGGGTTATGCTGGTTTGAAGAGCATTTCACACATTAGTCCAAGCCGTTCCAGTAATAAGCCAGATTCACACACCCCCCCCCACCCCCACCCCCCACCCACCCACCCCCGGACTACTGCTTCCCCAAAACGGAGATCTTAGGCCCAATCTGAGGTGAATAAGCTAAATAATTATTTTTAACAGCTTCTGAATATCATTCCCTACCTGTAATTTGAAGCTATAATTGCTATATTTATAAATGCAAAGTAAGAAAGATGTAAAGTAACATTATTCTATTTTTAAAATCAATAGTGTCCAAAACAGTGGCAGCTCATCCATAGAGGGCACTAGGTGCTGAACTTCCTGACTTGAAGCTAGAAAAAACTCTAAAAAGTGAAAACAAAACTACAAATTATTCTAATATTTACTATAAATGTGTCAGTTTTGCTTAGTTGTGTGTGCTGACATGCAATCTGAACCAGCTGTCTCTCATTAAACAATGAATTTCCTCCTCCAAACTCACTAGTTTCACTCTGGGGGCGCTGGAAAAAGCGCCCCTGAACTGCTGATAAACAGCTAATCACATTTGGTTGCTAGGGAGAACTGGAGAATTTGGGGCGCTAGCAAATATAAATAGGGTACAGGTATGATGAAATATGACATAAAAATTATATTTAAATTATTCTGATCCTATTGTGGAAACTATTATTAAATGAAACACTCAGATAGGTGAGTCACTGTCATAGTGTGGGAAAATCACTCTTAGCTGAATAAAAACACGACCGTACAAGTTTGAGAAAACCGCTCCCACATACTGAAGCTTTCCTCAGCGAACCAAACCCTTTGATCTCTAAAATCCTATGTTATTCTGACGCAGCTGTTCTCGTGTAGAGCTTTAATCAGCGCTCCTGCTTTGTTTCTGTTTAACCTGTTAGCTAAAAGTGGCTAAAGAAACCTTGCTACCACTTTGGGAGCATCCATCAGCTGTGACTAAAAGATCGCATGTACTTTACCAGAACCAAACTTCAGTGCCTTGAGGATGCAGACAGCATGGATACAGCCTCTGCTGCACAACTACTTCATCTTCTCCAGGGTTTGCAGCTGTTGTCATTCAAGACTTCATAACTTTTGCATCATTTTGAGCTGCAAACAATTGTATCAATGAAATGACAATAAATAAATTGTATGTTTATATTATTTATCTGCAGCACTGACTACCTAAGACACGCTTCTGATCGGCAACCTAAATGGACAGTCTGCTGGAAGCCCCTGCTCGTAGGTCTTCTGCAAAGCTCAGCTAATTTATTACAAAAGCTACACCAAGGTACATGCAGGAATCTCAAAATTAAATTTAAGACTTTTTCGAGACTTTTTAAGACCTTGTAAAAATAAAATTAAGACTATCGCAAAGAATTAATCAACTGTTAAACACTTATATATCGTTTTAAAATACTGCATCGCTTCATTTTCCACTTCATGTTGGGTTACGTCACATCCGGGACAGCGAGGCTGTAGCATTAATACGTAAAGCTACATGGTACCAAAATGCAAACTGCACGCATAGAAGAACTAAATATATATATTTTTAGTTTACATGCATCTATTTTTCATCCCCGCAAACTCCGAGGCTGTGAAAAAAGTGACAACTGAAATAACTCCCCCCAAACAAGGTCCTCACGTGCTGCAGATGTGCATCTATTCTACAGTGGGTTTTGTAGTGACCTCTGACATTTATATACTTTTATTTTATTGAGAATATTAAAAGAAAAAAAACTTTTATGTGATGTTTTTGCAAAATGCAAGCAATTTTCTACCAGTCCTACTGTTCAAGAGAGCTACATATAATAAACTGAAATAACTAATCAGATAATGATTAGAGATCATCATATAATAATTAACTATTATTATGAAACTAATTCACAAAACACCAAACATAAAAACATCTGAAAATATTCCAAATGGCTGTAATCATTCTTCAGCAGGATGACTAGATCCCAACTCACCAAATGTGGGACAGGAGACCTCTCACGGTGGGACGTGAAGCTTCAATGTAACCAGATAAAGTTAAAATGTTTTTTTTTAAATCTATTCTGCCTTTTATCTCTAACATGACTGGTAAATATACATACAACTATTATATAATTGATGTCTTATATGTTCTATTTGATCTAGATCCCCAGTGAGTCGTGGAGGATGGCTGCTTATACTGAGCCGGGACTCTCTGGAGGTTTCTTCCTGTTAAAGGGAGTTTTCCTCTCCACTGTCGCTTTATGCTTGCTTAGTATGAGAATTGCATCAAGTCACTGATACTAGTCAGTGACTTGATGCAATTTGCTGGGTTCCTTATATAGGAAACATTATTTCTGATTGGCTTAATGAACTGACCTGAATTGGAATGTTTATTATGTGAAGTGCCTTGAGACGACTCTTGTCGTGATTTGGCGCTATATAAATATACTTGAATTGAATTGAATTGAATTGAATTAAACTTGAGCAAGCAAACAGCAAAAGGTTTAATGCTGTTTCTCAGTTCCTCTCCAGTTACCACAGCTTAACCCAGGCTGGACCTTCAACAGCGGCTCTGAGTAACTTTAGCTACAGTTACTTTAAACAATCAACAGATTTTATAAATATAGACAGGCCCACTATAAAATAATGAAGGTTTAAGCAGCTTTTTAAAGTTTTCACTGAATATTTGTGCTGACTTTCCACAACAGAATGATAGTAAAAGTACGAGTAACGTCTTTAGATCTATTTATGTTTATTTTCCACTAATAACCTGTCATTAAGAACAGATCCACACTGTTTTGCAAGTTTTTCTTCTTCCTGATTTCAAATCTCTTATATAGCATGTAGGGAAGACGTGCCTAAAGGGTTTAGCCTGTATGCACCTGAAACAACAACCGCAGCACCTTGTCTGTCAGAATCTTCTTCAGGTTAGAATGGACCTGTCTAATTACTGGGAAAGCTGTCTGTGAACAACACTTGAACTCAACCCCCCCCCCCCCCCCCCCACACACACACACACACACACACCCCCACACACACACCGCCACACACACACACACAAGCCCCAGGAAACATCAGTTAAGGCTGAAAGTGAAGGGAGACAAACCTGCTAAGGTTCTGGACAGAAATCTGACGTATCTGGAGGGGATTTGGATGATTTTACGAACTTAAAGCTCCAACTGCTGCCAGATCATGAGGCGACAGTAGTAGCGGCGCTGTGATACCAGCTACCGCAATGTGATTTTGGATTTTCCCTAGCTGTCTCTGTGACTTAGAGAGCAGTTTTCCTTCTCTTAACAAGCCCATAACATTTGGACAAAATAGCCCTGCGGCTAATTTAGCCATTTGATGTCATTTCCAATCTCCAAGTGGCGGTTTAAAAAAGAAGAAAAAAAAACATTTCTGTTCATTAAATATGCATAGCATAACATAAAAAGAGGACAATGTCCCTTTTCTAATAAAAAACAAACCTGATAGAAAGTCTGTTCTGCCTTTATGTTTGAGCAAAAAGCAAAGCCCTGAGGAGAACTGCCCTTCGTCCTCTACAGACATCTGTGTTTGTGTGTGGTCCGTTTGTACTCGTCTTACCACATGGCGTGCATGTACGTGGGGGGCAGGCGGGGGCTGCTGACCGGGGTACAGTTGTACGACCTCATTATCCTCTCTGCTAACAGGAAATTACGGAACAAGCTGGCCACCAGCAAGTCCTGACGAAACAACTTCTGGAACAGATCTGAAGCGGAAGAGAGAGAGAACAGAAATGATCCATCGTGGAGACAGAAATGGGGCACCCAAAAATACAAAAGGGAGGAAAATGGGACACTTGGGGAGTGAATGAGGAAAAGAAAGTGTCCAGTTCGGAGAATCTAAAAGACAGATTTAAATTAATTCCTTTATCTCATTAATGCATTGAGTATTTTTTTTAATGGGGCTGGGCTAGTCCTCGTCTACAGTTTGTGTCAGGGATTTGTTGGGTGTGCAGCTCTGCCTGCTGCTGAAGTGTGTGTCTGATTTGGATCAGGTGTGTGCGCTAGCTTCATTACTGGGACTCTCTCTGATGTGAGCTGCTTCATTACGAGCAGAGCCCCCAGGCTTTAAAAGGCTCTGGCAGCCATCAGCGTCATCACATTGCTATTCTAGCCAGGGCCTGGTTCCTCTCAGGGGAGTCTCCCCCCCCCCCCCCCCCCCCCCCCGAGTGTGTAACTGGATGTGAGTCACACACATCAAACAGGTGGGCAGTGAGAAAGTCTGTGTGTGTGTGTGAGATGAAGTGCATGTCAGAAGTGTGTTTTCTGTGTATTTGCCTCAGCTGAGCCTGAGCTACATGTATTTCTTTGAGCACATCCTCAATTACTGCAATAGGAGCTCGAAACACTATTAATCTCCATTTGAGGAAGTAACTCACACACACACCGCACTTCTGGTCTTTTTATATCAACATCTCTATGATTTCAGCCACTCGGGATGTTCTGAAAGGCTTAAATTACTGCTGATACCTAAAACTTACAGTTTTTTTCTTTCAGATGTCCCAGTTTGCGATCACTGAGAACTGGTACACATAGGATCTTTTTGGTTTTAAATTAGGATTTCAGTGTGCCCTCTTTCCAGCATCATTGTGTTTTTCTCACCAACTACTTCAGTGTTTCCCTAACATTGCTATCTGTGGCGGCCACGCCTACAAGATAGCAAGTTAAAAAAAAATTTGCGCAGTTTCACAGCAGCAGAAAAATGAGATTTTGCAATAAATATGCAAAATATTTAAATATGAAATGTATTAGTTGGGGTGGCCCCGTGACTGCCTGATGGAAAATCAACGGGTTTCATCAGACTCGTAAAGTTTCTTGTTTTTGCTGGGGACCCCCTGTATTTTACCGCTCCCTCCTGCAGTCTTCCCCTATTAAAATTTAAAATGATTCTGTAATCAGACCACAGGGCCCTGGAGATGTTTTTCCAGGCGCCAAGAAAAATTTTATGCCACCCCCCCACCCCCCGCAAAGTGTGTCGCAGAGAGTTTAAAACAAAAATTAGTCTTGTGCAAATATTGGTGTATTCACCTTTAATACTAGTTATTTAAATGCAGCAGTTGCTGGATTGGTGCAGTACAAAGTGAGTGCGTCTAGTAAAACAATATTAACATAAAGGTGAGATGTGTCATAATCCCCTGAAACTAACTTAAAAAGTAAATTTTCACAGTGTCTTTGCAGTTTTTCTCCTACAGAAATACCTGATAATGAGCCAATGGAATACCTTGGTGATCTGGGTGCTGTCATGTCGCACCAGTCTGTGTCTGGATGTGTGTAAAGCCTCACCTCTGGGCAGCACGTTCCATGCAATGGTGTCGGTGATGGCGGTGAAGATCCAGTTGAGTTCTCCGAGGGGCGTGCGTCTGTCGTTGAGCCTGCCAGGGATCCTGCAGCACACAAAACACAACACAGATGGCACCGTGTCAGCCGCTCTTGCTGTGTGGCACGCTATTTACTCAGAGGACCAAGTGGCAACTGCTCGCCACCGTTACGAACACAATGTGATGGAATTAACATTTGCAGACAGCAAGGTTCTTACTCAGAGATCGAAAAAAATAAATATTCACTTCTTTAAAAGCCTCTGAGCTGATTTAGGTTGAGATCAGGCAGGAGTGGATGATGAATTGTGTTTTCTTAGATTTTTATGCAAGATCAACATTCAGAAAGGTTTCGGATCAGAGCAACAGTGGTGCCTGAACTGGTTTTACAAAGGAGACAGTGTGAATAAATCTCCATACTAACGTTTCAAAAAGCATATTTGGAAAACCCGAACAGAGAATCTGTTACTTTTGGAGCAGATCCACCATTTCTCCTTTTATAAAGGATTCAAGTGACTCGGAAGCTTCCTGGTCACATCCCTTCATTAGAGCACCCACAAAAACTCCCATAAACCACTGGGTGGAGACCCAGAATTTACCGAAAAGAAGACCTTGGGATCCTCTAGGAAAACTGGATAGTTTCACCATGGTAAAATTTAGTCATGGATCTGTTAACACTATGACCTGACTTTGGATGAGTGGATAAAATAGCCACATGGAGTCTTGGGCTGGCAATATACTTACATTTACACCTTGCATTGAAAGAGACAGTTGGCTGCAACTTGTTGACATACTATCTGCTGCACTGCACTGCACTTAGTACTGAAGGACTCCTCTAGGGGCCACAGATAGAGAGCCGGATATTTAGGGCAAAAACAAAATAAACATGGCGACAATAGAATATATCAGAAGCTGGCTGGCTAAGTTTGCCATCACGACAGATACAAAGCCTGCAGCGGTGTCATAGATAGTATGTGAGGCCTCCAAACCAGAGACAGCACCACAGTGGCGAAATATGTCTTGCTCGTTTAGTCAAGCCCCCCAATCAGTTACTCACGTTTTGCAGCACGCAAATGCATCGCGTGAATTTGAGGACTCGCAAAAACATTGCTTCAAACAAGCAAGTTACGCGAGGCAGCCATGCCAACCACGCATACGCGTGATAAAAGTAAGTATATTCGAGCCCTGTGCTGTGGTCTCTAGTATATGATTGCCTTGTGAGGCATTCTTTATGGAACTAAAACTCTTGCGACGACAGATAATGGTGTTGCATATCTCAGCACTGACGCAGATGGAGAAGTACAAACTAGGCTTAATGCAGGCAATAGGGGTTGAAGACTATTTTCAGGTTCAGGCTGCATTTGCAACTCAGAGTGTCCGACTGTATTTTGAAAAGACTTTCATTCTCATAACAGCACACAAGTCTCCAATTTTTAACTTCAAGGTACTAAATTCTACAGGTTTATTATGAAAGTTCAAAGATCCCTGCATGAAATGCACAACAAAGTGTTCCCATTTCATTTTTCGTCAGCCTGTCATCTCGTACTGTCACTCCCAAACAATTATTATCATTATTAGTTTTACACCCGAACACCCTCCGAGCCAATGCCTTGCTCCTCTGACAGAAAATGAGAAACAGTTTCTATTATCAGAAAAATATGACATCAAAGATCATCATGAAATTATACCTAACACATTGAGTCATTAGGGACCCTCCAACAGCTTTCCTTTTAAATGTGCAGAGCATGAACTTTCCCCGACCTGAGCCTTCCATCTCTGACTTAAAGTGACAAATAATGGCAGCAGTGAAGCTGCTGGCAGGTACAAGCCCGGCCGTATAATGACGAGGGCCGGCCACATCCTCAGCTCTTTGAGTTCTTGCCGAAGGTGTTTGGAAAGCCAGCAGAGACGATGAACACTCAGCAGTTCATATCCTTGTTCAGGATCCACAGTAATATGAGAGGAGAGGGTACACTGCTGGACGAGTGGACAGACAAGTGGATGAAAAATGTCCACTCAGGTGTTGAGACTCGTGCCATCAATCAAACTAAGTCTGCTATTTCTTTTTGGCCTCACACGTTTGAGGTTTGGTACATCATCAGATTTTGTCCATGTTTTACTTTGAATGCCTAAAAAGACACAACAGTTATACATCAACGCATAAAAACATTTCTAAAGTTATAACTGACAAAAGAAAAGAAAAAACTGAAAACCAAAAGATAAATAACATATTTGCAGATTTATATGAACACACATTTTTGCTTTAAAAGTAACTGAAGCCATTTAATCAATGTGTTCTTTTGATGGTGGTTTCCTGATTCAACTCACTTGAGTTTGTAATGGAGCGCCCCCTCAAAGACACGCTAAACAGCGGATGTGTGGGCAGCAACAGTTCATTTACATTAAAGTTACAAAGCCCCAAAACGGCTCATTCTTTTATATAAGTGACAGACCTAATATAAATAGCTTTTAAAAATTATAATACATCCATAATTACAAATCGATCTCCTGAGGCTTCGTCCAGAGGGGTCAATGGGGTTTAAGTTGTTCTGGTCAATAAAAGACAACAAAAACAATCCTCTGGATGGAGGAATGAAGCTCTAAGTACACTTTCAAAAGCTCGGTAAAAAGGACCTCAAATGAGCAGCGAAACTACCCAAGATAAAGAAGTCCAGTTGCCTTTTCTCTAAAACCACTAAAAATTTCACACAAGAGAACAAATGTGTCAGGAAGTGAGTGAACCAAAAAAATAATTAAACAAAAAACCCGGGAATTATGGCAGTTGATAGAATGCTACAATTTAAGATGCTTTTTCACTACAATTCTTAGAAATGATGATGCATCACGTTAAAGGTCATCTTCACTGAGAACCTTTTTTTAATTATTATTTCTGAAATATAATAATGTCATGCAGGCTGAACATGAACATAGTCTGCTAAATCTATCTCCTAAGGTGATGCTTCAGACAGAAAATCAGTGAATCTGGGATTTGAAAATGCTGACAGATCTGCATCACAGTCACTCAACATTTATGGAGTCATTCATCTTGACTCACGTAGGCTGTTGTTGGTTTAGCGTCCAGGAAACATCAGAGGACATCTCGACTATCAAAAGCTAATCTTTAGCATTAGCAACTGCAAAACATGGCAGGCTTGTGTTATTTATGAAACATCAACATTACAAAGCAAACAGAGTCAGTAGTAGTTGCGTTGCTGTTAGCCAACTCGTGGCAACATGTCCAAATATCAGGAAATAAGAGTCCAAATCCTGCTGTGTTCAGCTCAACTCTAAGTTGACAGGGCAGGGTTGTGGAAGGCGCTATATAAATAAAGCTTTGATTGATTGATTGATCTGGCTCACTTCTAGTTTCTGAAACAGGCTCATCAGAACTTTTATCCCCCAGAGAACAACTTAAAAGGCTTTCATTCTTGCTAAAGACCACTGAAAATGTATTAAAAATATAAGAGAAGTTGGCCTTTAAAGTGACAATGTGCATGTTCCCTGGGGGCAGTACATACCTAAATCATTGCATGCAAGCAATATTTTTATGTTCATGTAAGACCTTACCAACGGATGGCCATTAAGGTAAAAAATCCCTGGGAGTGCAACCTCCAGCAAAATGACAAGCACATCAGACTCGCTTTCATCACTGGCAACGAGTGGAGAGGTTAATGTGTAAAACGTTCATAATGACAAAAAGTTTAGTAACCAATTGTGAGACTGAGAGGTTAACAAGAGGGCTCCTGTAGAAAGAAACATGCCATTTAATATGGCGTCGCCCAGAAACACAGACCCGCTCCCATGTATTTTAGACTCAATTTTTATGGTTATATGTTACAAAGCCGTCAATATCTTTTAAAAACTAGGCACCAATTAATTCATTTTCAACAACTTTTCGATGGATGTTTCCAGATATTATTGGTAAAAACTACTTATTGCCTCTTTAAGATTGTCTAGTACTTAGTCAACTAAACAGATGGTGATGTCTGTGTTATGAACCTTTATTAATCCATGTAGAGGAATGTATGTTGCTTTTAAGCTTAATATACTACCTTTACTTATGACCAATAAGATGTGATATTCTATACAAATATAAGATATCAACTTGATTGATCTTTGAATGTTGATTCAGAAGAATTAGGATTATTTGCTTTTTCAGTGATCACGGTCCACTTCATATTAATTCAGACAGAGTCAAGGATATAATTAAAAATAAACTTTATTTTCTAGACTAATTATTTAGCAGACAAGCTATGAACAACTTTATGTGATGGATGGACATACAGTGAGGAACATAAGTATTTAAACACCTTGCGATTTTGCAAGTTCTCCCACTTAGAAATCATGGAAGGGTCTGAAATTCACATTGTAGGTGCATTCCCACTGTGAGAGACAGAATGTAAAAAAATAAAATAAAAAATCAGGAAATAACATTGTATGATTTGTAAAGAATTTTTTTGTTTTGCACTGCTGGACATAAGTATTTGAACACCTGGCAATCAGCAAGAACTCTGTCTCTCAAAGACCTGTTACTCTGCCTTTAAGAAGTCCATCTCTACTCCACTTGGTAATCTTAATTAGTAGCACCTGTCTGAGCTTTTTAAAGACACCTATCCACCCCACAGTCTGTCAGACTCCAACTACTACCATGGGCAAGACCAAGGAGCTGTCAAAAGAAACCAGAGACAAAATCGTGGACCTCCACAAGACTGGAAAGGGCTACGGGGAAATTGCCAAGCAGCTTAGTGAAAGTAGATCAACTGTTGGAGCAATTGTCAGAAAATGGAAGAGGCTAAAGATGAATGTCAGTCTCCCTGGGACTGGGGCTCCATGCAAGATCTCATCTTGTGGGGAATCACTGATGATAAGAAAGGTGAGGAATCAGCCCAGAACTACACGGGAGGAGCTGGTCAATGACTTGAAGAGAGCTAGGACCACAGTTTCAAAGGTCACTGTTGGTAGAACACTATGCCGTCATGGTTTCAAATCACGCATTGCACGAAAGGTTCCGCTGCTCAAGTCATCACATGTCCAGGCCCGTCTGCAGTTTGCCAATGACCATCTGGATG